CCCTCACGCTTCACCCGCGGAGCGCTTTTTTTTTTTTCTTTTCTAACATCGCTGGTTTGGGGTGTTCTGAGGTGCAGCGTGCCGGGCGTGAGAACCTCTGGCGGTGGTGGGGAGCCGGTGCTGGGAAACGAGGAGCTGTCGGGGCGTCCTGCGGGGCTTCTGCTAGCGCTGCCTCCCCGGGAGCCTGCCGCAGGGCTTGTGGGGACCCCCCCGCCCTTGAAATGCGCCTTCAGAGCCGAGAACCTGCTCTGCCTCTCGGGAGGAAGCTCCCCGCGAGGATTCAGATGGCAGCAGGAATTTATGTTTACAGTCAGTTCCTCAAATACAGAAATAGGAGTGACTGATGTGTGTCTTTGTAATTTTCATAACCGGGATAAACGGAGATGTACTTCTCTGTAGGGAAATGTTTCTGAAAAGTTGTTAAAACTCCGGCAGATGCGGCAGGAATGTCTCTACAGCCACCCCGCTTTAAATACCCCTTTTTGCTGCTGGACCCGCGCTGCCGTCATTGGGAGTGCGCATTCCACGTGTGAACAAATAAATCAGGATGTTATGAGCTTGTCCTTACAAAGAAATGGGATCGTGTGACCACGACACTTCTTGAATTGCTTAGTGATTGTTTTGAAACTCCGAAAGTATGAGTTCGTAACTGAAACAATGAAAAATGGCATGTTGCCATGTTCTACATGATAACGTCAGGGTCGGGCTCTTCTACAGAGAAAAAATCTCTGGCCTTCAAAAAAATGAAATTGCTCATGTATGTGGAAGAACTAAGATGACCTAGAAATCAGAGTTATGTCCTGTATGTGTCTTCTGTGTTCCCATTACGTTTTCTTAGTTAAGTATTTCTTAAAGAATTTAAGAGAATTTGTGTTTAAGTGATAATTTTCTTGTTTTCCTCTGCACAATACATTTCCTACGGACAATGTAAAATGAACTGTATTCTTTAAAAGAGAACGTAAAAACCTAATTTGGAGTGGATAAAACCCACTGGCAAGCAGCTGTTCCTTTTTTCTTTTTTTTTTTTTTAAGTGAAATGTGACTCCCTTGCCATGAGTTGTCAAAAGAGGGGAGGAAGACAGTTAGAATAACTGCTGAATAAATGAAAGATGTATGTCACATTCCTGTGTGCCTGTGGTTACAGGAAAAGTGCCCTTTAATTGTGTGGTGAATGCCACAGCAGAGATTTCATGAACAGAGTAGGCTAAGCAACAGAAAAATGACTAAAGAAAGTACTTTCCTTGCTTTTTAGGACTGACTGAAATTAAACACCCGCTCTTTTTCTACTTTCACCTTCAAAAGCCTAAAACTAACATTGGGTCTTAGGCAGAGGGAGTGATTTTTGGCTGTTGAGCCAGCAGGTTAGCAGACAGTTACTCAACAAATGTGTTATCCCCAAACCATTTTGTTGTCAGACATTAGAAAGATCAACAATATTAAATTCTGATGATGCTAACTCTAAAGCTGATTTGAAGCAAGATCAAAATTGTACCACATCTTCCCCTGGGAGGACTCTCAGAATGGGACTGATTGTTGGTAGAACAGCTGGTATTTTTTGTTGCTGTACTAGTAACTTCGGTTATTCTGTGAAAACATTGCTAATTTTTAATGCTCGTTCCGTTTATTTCAGTACGTAGAAAGGCACTGATCATAGTTAACTGGGTGCTGCTGTTTTTAGAAGGGGGGAAGAAGAGGCTGAAGAACATTACTCAAACTTAATCTGTCATCTGTATTTGTTTTATGTTCCACCCTAGTGATTTGAGTAGGATGGTAAACATGAATGTGGATTGTGGATCTGGGCCATGAATTCTTAATATTTTTAACTCACATAAATTGGCTTTTTTCTGAACTGCCATACTGTGGCTGCTCTCATCTGTGCTGTCCCACTAGCCTCTTACAAATTTGGGAAAAAGCATGTCGTCACCTGTTCATTGCATTCAGCAAACTTTACCTGTCTGGTGTTGTGCTGGTCTTTGTTTTCCTGTCTGCATACTTGTTTCACAAACGATGTCAGATGAGCTTTGGAAATACCACTTGTGGATCGTTGGTGTCAAAAAGCCAGGAGCAAACATAAAATGTTGGCGCAATTATACTTACATCGTTGGCTTGTCAAAGCCACAGGTGCTGCAAATCAAACTAAAATCTCTAGAAAACTTGATACCTGGTTCTTCTTCTACCCAGTGTTTCTCTTTGAAAGTTATGAAGCTCCAATGTCGATGACATAAAGCGGAGGGGAAGCCATGTCTGCCCCTGTTTTTCCTCACTTGTTCTCTTACTGTCAGTCAGCAGTTGAAGGAAATTGAATCACAGCCTTTTCCCTGCTAGGGGACTCCTTTCATTATCCTCCCTGCTTTCTCTCTGCATAACCCAATTTGTTTCTGGAAATTACTCCGTCATCCTCAGTTGCACATTATTCTGCCACTGTTTGGCACCAAGTCAATGCTCTTCCTGTTAGGATTTCATTCCCATTTTAAGGCATCACTGCAGCAGTGTTTTGCTGTTGGAGTAGGGCTTGCTGCAATTTCCCTCTGAGCCTGCTCATTCATTTGGTCAAGTAGACTCGCTGACAAATAGTACAGTGCGTTGTTCCGTCAGGAAGCGCTGCAGAGCAAGAATAGTGTAAGTCCAGTATTCATAATTGCTTCTGGAGCTTAGAGGAAAAAGCAGTGCCTGTTGTTTTTCCCTTCCAATCTCTGTAGTGTTCTTGAATTTTAACAGGTTGGTTTGTAGCTCTGTCCTTAGGTGGAGTGCATCAGCTGTGGCCTGGGAGTGGGAGTGAGTGGCTACTTTATAGAGTTGCTGTTGTTTCCCCAGGGATGCTGAGGAAGTCCTGTTGTTACAAACAATAGCCAGAGTACAGCCTGTATAAGTTTGTCCTGGAATTGGGTGGTACTTTGCCACTGCTGTACAGGCCTCACTGGGCATGACTTCAAAGCTGAAATCCTTCGATGACTGCCAGTGCCACCCTTTGGCATTTGCATGCAACAGGCTGCAAAGTATAACATTAAAACTTTATTTTGTGTCAGAAACGCTGCTAAAACTGATTTGAGGTGTTTTAAATGTAGTGTGGAAATGAGGAATGGGGGGAAAAGTGATTCAGTGGGTCAGTAGAGAAGGCAATGTGAAGATAAAAGGGCAAGAAAGTTTAAAGGTTAACAACCCTTTGTACAGTGGTTTTCATCTCAACAAATTACTAATTTGTATTTCTAGCCCAGTTGTATGATTGGACTGCCATCTGTACTGGACTTGTGTGATTTCCTTCACAGCAGCCCTGTAACACGTCAGTTGCTGTGACGTGACAGGCAGCCGTGATTCACTCGCTGGTACACAGGTACATGGACGATTACTGATGTACCGTCACTGCCCTGTGGAGCTATAAGCATGTTGGCTAAAATGAGTCTCATACTGACTTACCAGGCCAGCCATTTACCAGCTTCGGACTATCGTGCACAAGTCCATTGCTTCTGATGTTGGAGCTGCTAGTCATTATCTGTTTCTAATTATTTGAGGTGGTTTTCATGTTTTCTCCTAACAATCCTTTCACTCCTTTTAGTCCGGTTTCCCTTCATTTGAAATCGCTGTAAGAAAAAGCTGACCTCATCTATCACTTCCTGCACAGCACAACACAAACTCAGCTCTGTTTCCTACTTGTGGGTCTGGTCTGTCCTTGCCGACGTGGAGGAAGGCCAGACTGCGTTTCCTTTCTTGTTGTAAACAGGCATGTTTTTGCTAAGCTGATGAGAAGAAAGAGCAGGGGGAAATGGAAATTAAATAGGTGAGAAAAGGTGTTATTAATTACCTTATGAATCAGCAAGCCCCAAAGTTGAGGAGTTCATTATTAATGTATCTTGATAGCTGGCAAGCGGGAAGCACCTCCGGCTTCTGTAGTTTATGGACAGAGTCTGGTGTTCTCAGAATGAACATACCAGTCACCAGTGTCTAAACCCAGTGTGCAAGGATTCATAATTTTTAAATGCATTTCATTGTTTCAGAGTTCTTTAGCAAATATGAAAGGATAACCTGCTTCTATGCTAAGTTTGAGGGGTTTATGTCACTTTCTCTGCGGCTTCTTGTTCTAGATTTGATAACGTATGGCTGAATGATGAAGTCACAGTCAGCAGCACGCTGCACAAAAATTAGCCTCCACAGATGTCTCTAAAGAGTTAGGTTATATTTCACCTTACTCATTATAGACTTTTTTCTTTATAATACAGACACAGCTCATGTATTTTAGAGGAACTTTCTCTGTATCTGAGGACACTGTTCCTTATGGATAGAAGACCCTGCAGACCTAAAAGACCAGAGAGCAGAAGACGGAAGGCAATACAAAGCAGCATTTTCTCAATACAGTGGTCAGCATACCAGCATCTATACACTGTTGATTTGTTTTATCATCAGACTTAAAGAAAGGCTGGAAGAAATATAGTGAAAACACTGCAGATATTTTCAGATAGTTCTTCTACTTGCTTTTGCCTGGGAAGAAAAAGAAGTTAAAGCTTGTTTGAAAAGTTGAGAAAGGTCCATTGTTTGGAAAAGGAAAAATGGGAATCCTTATCATGATGCTGAGTAGTGGTGCACCCTCTGAGGAGGTTGTGTCATAAAGAGCCTTGAAAGTGAACTTAAGTTACCTTAATTGATATGAGAGACAGTTGGAAGAAATTAATTATAAAATAGTAAAATATGGGGTCTATGAAAAGGACTTTGCTGCTGTGATCTGAATACCTGTGAGCAGAACACGATTGCCATTTTCAGGGCTAAAGGAAGTGCTGTAATGACCAAGACACGGGTGAGTGCAGGGGGAAGGTGTATTTCAGAGGGAAGTACACACTCAGCATGACCGCAGGTACGTAGTTAGGAGAGACGAGAGAGATCTAGGTCAGATGAGATGCTGGGCTTTAGAAGAACAGTGCTGATGGCCCAGAGTAATCATGAGAAAGATTTTAGATACTTTCAGGAAGAGCTTGAAGAGCCCTGTTTGTTGCCAACAGACAGCTGGGATTTCATGGGTAGGTATTGTGTAGGTTCAAAGCTGGACAGACAGATTTCTCACTTCATCGTTTGCTGTGCTCTGTTTAGGACTTGCAGTTGTTTTCCACAAAAATGTCTCATAAATAGGACTCAGACTGAAAAGTTTTAACCATGTTTCTTGTATGAAATACTTTAAAAATATCATTACACCAAAGTTCTCTCAGCCAAAAGCAAGGGAAACTGCAACTGGGACTAGAAAGGCATCAACCCTATTGGCCTGTTTCCTGAGCAAGAGGATGGCTTTTCTGAAATCAGATAGAAAACAATACCTCTTACATTTTCTCTGAAGCATTCTGAACCTTAGTTTTTGCAAATAACTTGTATGTGGAATTGCAGTACTTGGTATCCTTGGATCAAATACTTGGATATAGACTGAATGGAAAAGAAATATTCACTCCAGAATACACTTTCTTTCTAAATAATCCCTTTTGAAGATTAAGAGTACACCAAATCAGCAAACAAAACTGAGAAACTAGAAAATGATGTCCATTGTTCCGTTATCTCAGCTCTCAATGTCATTTATGAGTATATAAGAACATGTTGATAGAAATGGATTTTTGCTATTTCAAGTATGTAATGATGGGGATGCCCTTGAATTATTTCTTGCCAGCTATAAACCTCTCCAACCTTTAAAAAATAATCTTTTGTCAGCTATATGACAGGAGGTAGAAAATAGTAAATTAAAACTTGAATGTTAGTACAGTTCCTTCTGTAAAGCAAGTCATTAAAACAATTTTTTGGTAACACTTAAATCTAAAAGCAAACCTTTGCTTTTCTTTCAGATGAATGTCTGTAGATTACGCTTAACAGTTCCACCTGATGAAAGCTCACAGCCTGAACAGGGAGCAAAGGAGCCTGAAAGAAAGAAAACCGTAAGTTTTAAGAATCAAAGTTAAGTCCTATATAAACAAGGAGTAACTATTGCCGTTCACAGAAGCTGATATTAGTTGTTTTGGGAGCCCATAGCCTCGTCATCTTGGAAGACTGAAGAATGTGTGGAACCTGATCAAGTCAGCTGTGAACCTTGAGCCTGAGCCTTTAGAGCTGGGGATAGCAAAACTGCATGTGAAATAAGAGAGTAGTAGAGGAACAGCACAGAGACTGTGGGTGATTTGTGACTGAGGTACCTTTAAGACTTGATTATTTAATATTTATATATTAAAGAGTAGGAAACTGCTATCAAGAGCAGGGACTTGCCTTAAACAGGATCTTGACCCTCACCTGAAGGGGATTTTATGTTTCACGGAGGCTTACCAGTGTGCAAGATTTGGGCCTAAATGTGTATGGGAGCTGGCTTGCCCGGGATTTAGGTGTGTTGCTGTGTCAGCTGATTTCGGTAACAGGTGGTATACTAATAGTACAAAATAAAGAATTCAGGATTGTTCTGAAATGAAAGTGATTTGAATATCATGTGCACAGAAGGGTTCAGAAGGGCAGTTGTTTTGTAGAAGCAAGTAGCATGCACACAAAAAAGTCTTACAGCTGCTTTGGTGCAGAACTTGTACTTTAAGAGCTGTTTCAGAGCAATAGATGATGTTTAATTTGTCTTAAGGATGGAGATGAAAAAGGGAAGCTGGCCAGGCTCCACAACTTCAACACATTTGCACTTTGATCAACCAAAATCAAGCAAGAAGTTGGCTAAGTTTACCACACCTGGTGTTTGAATGGCAATGTGGCAATAGGAAGCAAAACAACAATAGGATTTATTTGAAATAATTTCTTAGTGGTACTCAGAAGCAAAAGTACATGTAAGATGACTCGGAAAGACTAACGTTTTAAAGCAATAAAAATAAATGCAGAGTAAAATGGTCAGGTTAAAGATTCCTCATCAGATATTTCTTGTGCTGGAATCTTGTATACACCCCGCTTTGCATACATGGCTCTAGCAGAGCAGTGGGTCCTTGAGGATCTATATTGGTTACAGAATGGAATAAAGAGGCCTTAATGCAAGCTAAATTTGGGCCACCATTAGGTAGTAATAATTCATTTTGTACAGGGGTGTGTAGCTGTAGCACTGAGAGTAGCTTCCCCCACCACTTTGTCAGTCTCTTGCCAGTTTGTGTGGGATCGCAGAAACCCTCCGCCTGGCCTGAGCATGTGGGTCATTGCCCCAAGAGTACTGCAAGTTTGTTTTTGAGGAGGATAGGTACTGACTCATGGCTTACTCACTTTACTGTGCTGAGTAGTGTAATAATAAGAAAAGTGTGAATGATTAGGGCTTGGACAATTTGCAGTGACTGTATGTGACCAGTTCTTCCCTCTGCGGGACCTGGTGTTCAGTGAGAGCTGTATTTCTCCCCTAACACAAGTAAAGGCATGTGGGTTTCTATCAGAGAATGTTAAGGAGAGGATATGAGCAGTAATAAATACATTATTTGGCTCATTTTACATTCCAGTACATTGCACAGTGATTTTTAAGAGGTGGGTCTTTCATAGTTGAGACCAAAAAAATGGTATGTAATTTAATTATTGTGTGTTCTGAGGAGTTTTCTAAAGTTCAGTACTTTTAAACAATTTAAAGACTTTTAGAAAGCACACATACATACAGCCTTCAGAGCTAGATGGGACCTAATTAGTCAATTTCCTAGCAATTAAAATCCAGAGTAATTGTGCCATCTACTTGTGTTTTACAGTCTTTGTGTAATTAAAAAAAGAAATAGCCCTACAGACTGTACAGTCATAGCATACAGAAGCAGCTACACAAAAATCACTGACTATGAACTGTGTTTTTCTCATGTCTCAAGTGAGATGGGTGATGTATTCCCTGTAGATTTTTATTGTCTATGTAATGTAGTGCTTTGTGTATTTGAGTTAGTTACACAGTAACTTACAGTGCACACAGGACTCGACTAGTAACGCTGTGATACTTTTCTCTTATGGTAAAATGTAATTTATTAAAAAAAAACCCAACATCTCCTAAAAGCAGCGATCAGGTATCTCTGCTGATCCCACCCATGTTCAACCCACTAGTGAAATTGCTGAAAGCACTCTGAGACTGACAGGTTTTACAAATGTTAGGTAATTCTCACACAGTCCTGTGAGAACCTGTCTTAGAAATAGGGATAAGAGAGAGAAATTAGGAAGCTGCTCAGTTTTCTGCCTTGCACTTTGCAATTTAACGTCAAAAAACCCACTTTCACCAAGAATCAAATTTAACCGCAGGTCTCTTGTTGGAATCCAGAGTTCTGTGCTGTCTCCAAATGCTGAGGATTGAGAAAATGGGAACGTGGAAAATGGTTTTGGTAATTAAAATATTAGTGTGATTTACAGAAACTGCAGGGATCATCTGTGGGATTTTACAGGTTTCGCTGGAGCCCTCAGGCTGCCAGGCACTCTCCTCCTTGGGCAGGACAAGCGCTGGGCAGACAGACCCGGCCCTGCCTGCTGCTGGAGGGGGAGGAGGGCAGAGCCTGTCTCGGAGGGAATGCCGGGGCACTATAAATGTACCACGGCATGACGTGGGGTGGTAATCGCCTCTTTCCACCTCTCGTTAGAAGGAGGTGATTTTGAGGTGCCCTGATGTGACAGCGATGGCCTAGGGACTGCTCGTTACTGGTCTGTGTCTTGCTGCTGCTCAGTGCCAGTAAGAGATGTTTCCGTTGCAGAATCAGCTGGTGAACTGCACAGAAGCTCCTGCTGGTGCTGGTCCTCCCAATAACTTGTTCTGGAGCTTGATGTTAGATCAGAACTGGTTCTTTATTGGTTATGTTAGTAGCTGTTAGCTTAGCCTCTTTTATTGTAGTCCAAGTCTAGCAGAAAATGTATGTTATATTGCATGAAATCTGTGTCAGTGCATTGTTTCTAGATTGACTTTTTTATTGCTATACATCCATGAAATGAAAGTGAACCAGCATAGGACATTACAACAAAGTGATGGAGCTGGGCAGTTTTGTTACAACAAAATTGCTGCAGGCATTACTGTAGGAGGATGCCCTGTCCCGTCCCCTGTGGAAGGCTGGCAGACGGAGCACAGGCGTTGCTCTCAGGGGCTGAAGGGGGAGTGAGCTTGGGCTCCAGTGTGTCCGGTTGGGTTTTTATATTCATATTTAGGCTGTGATACCTTGAAAGAAGCATATGAGAACTGAGGGCACAAGTAGATGTTGGCTGGTTTGTTTGTTTGCTTTTTACAGACTAAAAGCCTACTGCTAAATATCTCTGAATTGTTAGTTCGACGTGGTGATGATAGACAATGGATGACAGCAGTGTGAGGCTCTTTATTTCACCATGGAGTACAGAGGAATATTGTGTTGTCAGCTTGTATGCAAAATCTCCATGTCCTGCAGCCTGCCTTGTCTTGCATAATAAAGGGCTTCCAGACAATTGCATTGTCCCTGTTTGGGATTGGGTTTATTTTTATCCATCAGTCCCTTTCTTCACTGTCATGGCTAAATTTGGAAGCGTCACTGGAAGCTGCAGCTAGGCATTTGATGGCAGAATGTGGAGATATGTATAGACAGATTTTTCTTTTTCACTCGGACACACGGACAAGAGAATGAAAATGAGACAGCACTCTAGAAATTTGTGTCACTTTCCTGTCTGTGGCTTTCAACAGAGTTGGAGCAGTGTTTAGTCTTAAACTCTAATTGGTGCTTTGGCTGTTTATATCCTCAAACTTTAATTTGCTTCTGTTTTTAAAGCATCACAACCAAGAGCTGAAATTCTTTTTGTTTCCTAAGCAGGAATACAAAGCATAGCAAACATTTTTTTCCCCAGAAAAAAAAGTAGGCTGTAAAGAAGCCCAAAGGGGAATTTGCTCCTGTATGTGATGGAGAGAATCAAGCAGAAACTTGTGTCAGGCCTGGGTCAGAGAATCTGAGTGCAGTGCACGTGGGGCTGTGGTGCACACTGGATCGGGACAGTGCCTGTTCCTCTGCTCGTCTCCTGCCGCCAGCCCACTCCCATCAGCACACCACAAGTCCTGTCCTAACAGATGCGGTTCTGCTACAGGTGCCTGGTGTTACTGTTTCTCAGCCTCTCCAGCACTGATGGCTTGATTTTTGGTGTGTACTAGTTAATCAACACCTTCATTAAAACCAGCGCTACATGAAAACCACAGACAGGATTCCACTGACCTCTGTGGTTACTGTCGTGTTTGTTGTATCTTATTTTCTTAGCGGATAGTCACTGGTGTTCTGTGTGCGGATTTTGTTGATCAGATATGACTCTTTATAATGCCTGTCACTTCTATTTTTGAGATAAGCACCTAAATGCTACATTTAAAGGAGCTTAAAAGTTGGAATGTGTTAAACTGATTCTTACTTAGTGTCATGAGTTAAAGAACACTCATGTCTATGTCTTGGCATATTCTCCCTATTTTAATACTATTTATATATGAAACATCCCTAATTGTAACGTGAGTTCCATGGGCTGTAGAGGAATACGAAAAACCATAAAAACATAGCTCACTTTTCTCAGAGCACAGTAACTTTCCTTGGTGAGGTCAATATCATAAATTTGTCATTTTACTGAACAGAAAATATGTAACCTAAGTAACAAGGTGAATGTTATTTTCCCTTACATAACCAGTGAACACACAAAAGATAACTGGGTATTTCAGAAACCTCTGGAATGTGACAGCTGACAGAAAGATAAAGCCTCACTTAACTGATATAGTGAAGAGTTTTTAGATGGTGTAGGTAAACAGAAGATCATGATTTTAGCAGAATTTTAAGGAGATACGAGTACTAAACCCAGAATTGTGCTATTCATTACATTAGATGTCCTTTTTCCTCAAAATAAGATACCTCTCCTGTCTTTCTGCTTCCAATTTTGGGGCAGGGGGAAAGTATAAAGTATGGGGGTATCTGACATTTATTTCAAAAACTGATGGAGATAGATTAGGAAGCAAATCATCCCTCAGTGTTATTTACATAATACCAATGAAACGATGGGCAATACAAAAAGCAGCTAACAACTCCCATTTAGGGTTTGCTTTTACAGTGTCTTTGCTTCACCTGTTTCATGCTCCTTGTGCTACTTCCTTGGACAGATGTAAACAGGATGCATGGCAATTATCAAGACTTGCAACCTTGGAGTGTAGGCTTCTGTTTTAAATATTTATTAATTAAGTAAACACAGTCTGCGTTTCTTTAATACCTGCTGTGTGATCACACAGAGTGCAACTTGACTGTTGCTGCAGCACAGACAAGGCACGTTCCTGGAAGCTGCTATAGTATCACATGCAGCAGCAAGATGTGTTCTTGCTGTTACCTCGGACTGTCATATATAACTGACTAGGTGAAGAGAATTACTCAGAAATTCCTTAAGCTAAGTCTGCCTTTTCAGATCAGCAGCTCGCCTGAGCAGGGAACTGTGCTTGTTGCAGTGCTGCAAGTGCATAGGCTGGTGGGGAGCAAGAACTTCCCTGTACTCCGGAGCTGGCTGATATTTTGACCATGAACAGCAGTGGTTAACTGATTTAACGTAACCTTCCATCTTCAAGGACTTTTCTTGTTAGCTTTACAGTATTTACTTGCTCCTAAGTACTTGCATGTATTTACTTATTCTGTTGTCATCACTGAGATCTCACTGCAGATCAGAGTGGGGACAGGTGAGGACCTTCTCAGAAAAATATCTGAGTTCTGAGAGTGAATATGTATGGGACATAGAGGAAAACAACAAAAAGTATTTGACTTTAAAAGCATTCTGTAGTCCTTGGGGGTGTAGAATATCCAGGATTTTTGGAAGAGGAAACATGGAAGAGAGAGAAGATGTGACAGAGGAAGAACAGAGGACAGGACAGAAAGGAAGAAACACTGAAGGGAGAAAAATAAAGGTGGGTGGAAATAGCTTAAGAGCAGAGACAAACTGGTGGAAAGTACACTTGATGCATACCTAGTGATGCAGTGCTGTGGAGCAGTTTGAGAATTGAGCCATTCAGCAAGGCTTCCTTTAGAGGCAAAGGTGTATTAATAAAACAGTCCACAATCACAGTGACCCATCCACCTCTCAGCCCTGCACTGAGAAGAGTTTTCTGATGGTGACTCTTCCTCTAAGAGGAGACTGCATCAGGTTAGCCCTTTTTGTCAGGGCATATGCTGAACCCTGAAACAAGGGGTTACTGGGTGGAAGTTGAGTTACTTACGAGAGAAAAGGGGCAGTAGAAGGTAAGCATAGCTGGAACAGCGAGGAGAAAGACTAAAGAAATACAAGAGCGGTTATTTATATAGCTGTTGGTTCACATAGCTTTAAATCAAGCAAGAACTGTACTGACATTTTAACAGGTGCTTGCCTGGGGGTAGTGGTGCCAAGGAGGAATAAGGAGGGGGTAAAAGCAATATCCTGTATTTTAAGTGGCACACAGTAGAACTGGAACACTCAACAGAGGATGGTGATTCTTAGAATCTTATGACAGAGAAGTGACAAAGGCATCTTGGGAGGCTTGTGCAAATATAGACAACAGGCAAGTTTAGCATTGTTGCAAGAGACATGTAACCAGTCTGGCTTTGTGCATGCTTAATCCTGCATGTACTGCCCATTATGATGTAAATTTAAGTCTGTTCATCTGTGAAATATCTAAGTGCCATGGGTGATTCACCAGCAGCAAACCCATTGGTCTGAATTTGTAGATCCTTTTTACTGGGAAGAAAATCCTTCAAAGCATTCCTTAGTGATGTGTTTATAATATTCTAAAAATAAGGAACTTGGTCATAATTTTCATACTGAACTCTGCAAACAGCACTTTAAACAATTCTGCTAATGTTTCAGAAGCACAAAGGATCTTGGTAGTTGCTGGTATTCAGCTGTTCACCTCATAAAAAATGAATGATCATGGGTAAAGGGTATGGATTTATGAACTTAGTGTCTGATGCCTTAGTAACCTCTAAACAATTAAAGCGATTATTCATTTGGTTATCAGGAAGATGGAAACTTGGATGTAATCCCTTTATCCAGATGCAGGGGAGGAGCTGTGATGAAACTATTAAAGAAACTGTCCAACCCTGGAAGCAAACAAACACAAAGTTTTGAGTTGTGTCCCCATCTAGTTTCTGCCTTTTCTCTACTCTGAAAAAATCAGGTGTGGGGTTTCTGTTTGTATGCATCCAGACAGCAAAACAAAAACCCTAGTAACACGTAATTACGAAGGTTCTGATTATCAGGATAGGAAGTTTTACATACAGTGTTTCCAAAGTGCACAGTGGTATCTTGTCTAAGTAGGGCTGGTTGCTCAATGTTTTTCCATTAGGTGGTTTTAAGGCTGTCTTTTTAGAATGATTGCTTACAGCTTTGTTGTTCTTTGCCTGAAACATTCTTTATCAGGTGTCTGCTCTGTGATTGCTCCCCTCCCAGCCCTGCACACACACACCCAGAGCTTCAGCAAAAGGTTAAGCTATTAATGATATGGTAAAGGAAAATGCATGGCATTTACAATGTTGGGGAAATCTGTCAAGGTGGGAGGGACGCAATATCAAATACATCTATCTTTACCCATTCTTCCTAATGCAAGTAGATTTTCCTGCTCATTTTGCCCAAAGAAGTATTTATTCTTACTTTGTCAGCATAGTTCTGTTAGTTTGGCTGCTAAAAACTGAAAGTGCTCCTGCTTTAGACTGCAGATGCTATCTCACCATCTGTCACGGTAAGGACTGGGAACTCTAGGATGCAGCTGCAGATATAAGATGCTGAACTTCTCTTCCAGCCTCTGTTTGGTGTCAGAGAGAGTATTTGGATACTGCTTAGACTCTTAATTTAGTAAAGAATCTCAAAGTTTGTTGGTTTTCATACAGTGTCATTACTGAACAACAAAACCAAAACCAAACATATTCTAAGGTCAATGTAGAAAATACTCTCAAATCTACCCGTATCCTGGTATATCTATCATGAGGAAGAAAGTACAGTGAAACTACCTGTAACTGATTTGTCGCCAGCACTGGTCTTTCAAAAACAACGTGCAAAGCTAAGCAGTAACAGCCCTGTGTCCAAGGTTGTGTCTTTTAACTTTCTATTCGGAAATAATAACTGATTTATGGTTCCTAGTTTGCAAATATTCAAAGTTGGGTAAGAATATTTTTTCCCCTTCTTTTTAAAAAAGTTGCAATGTGGATGTCTTCATCTAAGCTAGTTCTTTAAATTCTTTGTAATCAGGAAGAGAAATTAGTGCTTGTGGAGACTGACTCATTTCAGATGATTGCTACAGAATGATATTTCTCTGGGTTGATGAGAAGGGAGGCTAGGTGAGTAGTGAGGTCAGATACTTATTTACCTGCTGAGGGAAATGATTCCTGCTGCTTGCATGAGTGTTTTCTTACTAAGTGTATTGATGAGTAAGAGGAGTCTGTTGCAAAGGGTCCCTTATAGAAAGATACACAATTATTGCAAGTACTTTTTACAAATTTCTGCAGATCATTAGAATAACAAATGGAGGCACTTGAAAACAGCCTTTCTATTTACCTGTCAAGACCTGATTTCAAAGTTTATGCTCCTGCTGCAGTTATAACACTGGGACACCCCCAGGAGTGCTGTTCCGTAGCTTTGCTTTGGCTCTTACAACGTCAGTTCTACAACTTCTGTAAGAGAAATGCAGCCGAGAAATGAATGTTTGATTGTTTTGGAGATCCCTAGGAGATTGTTTTGGAGATTGTTTTGGAGATCCTCTGAATGGGAACTGAAATTCTGCTTTATTTCCAGGATAAACATATTTTCTGAGCTCTGTTTCAGAAACCTTGAAGAAGAAACTGATAACATTCTAAAATTTTTTATTAAGCTAATGAATTTTTATATCTCCTGCAGCAGGGAGTTTGGGGAGGAGGGGCAGGTCTGTGGTTGCAAGAGTTTAAAGGGAACTGTGAGAGCTGACAGTGCTGGAAGGATGTAGAAAAGTAACGTATGTCCGTGAATGAAAACCAGCCAGGATAACTTTTTCTCTCACGTGCCTCTACCTCTCCTTGCGTAAATCCAGTTCACTGTCTCTAGCTGTACCAATACTGCTGTCATTAAAGTCAGTGGAAATTAGACATGTCTATCAATTATAAAGTGGCCATTAATCTTCCCCAAAACATGAAGGTTGATGGTTTGGCCCCAAAAACTCAGGAACTAGTGTTCTTAGTACTGTTTTGCTTTCACTATAGCTGGCTGTTTTTCTTGGCCCTATGTTACTGTATTTTTTGTTTGTTATTTTTTAATTCTAGTACTGATTTTAAAGTAACTTTTCTTTTTTTTACTTTTAAGGAGCTCTACCATGTACCAAATGGCATGTCTCCGGGGAGGCTGTCTCATGGGATGGTGTATGGTGTAGTGCACCGAACTGACAACAACCATAAGAGAGAAATGGTGGTTTATGGCTGGTCAGCTGATCAGCTGAAAGAGGAGATGAATTACATTAAAGAAGTGAGTTACGCTTTCAGCTTCAAAAATTGTCAGGTATCATTTACATATATTCATGTAGAGCTCTGAGTGGATGTGGGATGACTGATGTCCAGCCCAGCACCTGAATTTGAACTGGGAACCCACTCTGAAGCTAGAGCCTTGCCTTGTTAGTACTCAAGTTGGGAAAAAAGCATGCTGTGTACCTGGGAACTGTGTGGTCTGGACCCTGCCAAGTGGTACTTGCTAATGCTTGCTGGCTGGGCTGCAGCTGGGTAAGCAAACTGACAAACAGATCTCGGGGTTCCTGTCCTGAAGCCTTCATCATTTTAAATGTGATACAGAAGAAACGATGTAAGCAGACACCTGAAAGGATAACGTCTCTCTGTTCCTCTGCTTCCCCTGTCCCCAAACCCCCAGTTTTGAAGAGGCTCCTCAATTAGGTGACATATTAAAATCACTTGGGTATATTTTGGGGCAGCCTTAAAATAGTCAGCCTAATAAGGATGACTTTGTACTACTTTCTCTGTGCATGCTCACTTACTGTAATTGGCAGAAGCTCTCCTACAAGAAAGAAAGAAGGAAAGAAAAAAAAAAAAAATTTCTGATGCTGGTGGTTTCTGTGCTTGAAAGTTAGTATCTTTGCCTGTCAGTCCTTGGCTCTTGGGCTTTGGCAATAACCCCCAATCAGCCCAGGGCAGATAATTTGACCTTCTCTTTCCACCTGCCTTCACCACCCGGGAAGCTGTTGGCCAGCGCTCACTGTGTGACGCCGATTCGCGTGCGGACTGGGTGGGTATAAAAGGGAGGAGCGCGGACTCAAGGCGGCTGATTACGTGTGCTCCTGACCCCGCTGCTCTCTGGCCACCCGCCCTGGCTTCTCTCCCTCACTCCCGGCTCTTGCCGTTCCCGGGTTCCTGCACTCGCGGGTGGGCTGTCACCTGCGCGGCGCAGCGG